AGGCCTATGGGAAGGTCGCTGTCACCATCGTGAAGGGCATCTTTTAGAAATCCGTCAACATCTTGTTCAAGCGTGGGCTTTCTGAAGATTGAACAAATTTCGAACAGTTGCGGGGCTTTTATAAGCATGAGCCCGCACAAGCACAGTGCCATTAGGCTTCGATTGCCTAACCCATTTTGGCTTGAAGGTCATATGATTGTCCGAATTGGCCACAGTTTTTCTTAGCGGTTAGTGTATGTTCAATTCACACTTGCTTGCCAACTGATCGACGTCTACGCTAAAATGCAACGGCCTACATAACCTTATCTATGCTTCCTAACCCAGCCAAATTATTTAGTTCACCATAAGGGGTAATGCTCGTCAAGCCGCCACTTACGAGACATTAAGGAGACACCGTGGGCTAATTGGATGGCGTTCTGTGAAATTTTGAAGTCGCCGAAGTTGTAAGTGGGTTTATCGTGATATTTTACTCATCACGAGACCCCTCTGTGTGTATTAAAAAGCTATGTTGTCAATTCATCGCAATAGTTACGAATACAAGCATGCCGGTGTGTGTGTCTATTGGAAAAGAAACAAACTTGGAGGTTTTCTCAAACAAAGACCTAAAATCTATCTCTGTTAACAAAAGGTAGTTCACACCTGTCGCATTGGCATCACGAAGATATTTCAGATTATCTGAGAAGACTGATAAGTCCTTTTGGGTACGTGTCTCCTCGATTGTTGCATTAACTCAGTTCAGAATATAATGTCACCCGCTCAGTAAAAACCGAATAGAGACAGTCAGATAAACAGAAAATACGCCAAGATCTCTAGGTGACAATTTGACCCTAAATATCTAATATTCGTGACTGGAGACAACAATAGACAAAATTCAGCAGGTGCGTTATCAACTACTGAGCAGGCGCTGTGCTCGAGATGACTAGGGTCCAATTTCTCGATTCTGCCTACAACCGTGTGAGAAAAGAATTTAGGCAATCTATAGGCAAGACATGAAAGTAGGCGCCTCGAGATACCACAGGTGGCTTTGTGCTACATTACGGGAGGACTACCTATTCCCGAGTCCCAAACCTAATCTGAGTACTAAACTTAACCCTAACTCTACCTTAAAACTAATTCTAGCGCTAAACTCGACCCCATCTTTTCTCTCCCTGGAATTTAGTTTAAGATAACCGTTATTATGCATTAATATCTGCAAGACGAAATTCCTGACTACGCATCTTAGCACAGCACAGTCACTGTTTATCAGTGGTCAACACATCGAAGAAGTTAGCTGCTTCCGCTAATATACCAGCCAACGGACAGACCTATGAAGGAATCAGAAACCGAGTCGCTCAAGTGCGAAATGCAATAAGGCTGCTAGCCAGACCACTGTACTCTCGCTCAGAGATCAGCTTACATATTAAGCTGTCGATATACAAAGCCTCTATCAAACCGGTGTTAGTATATGTCCGCGAAACGTGGCGTGACACAAAAGCAGACATTCTATCGCTCGAAGTCTTCGACCGTTGGTGTCTTCGACGCGTCTTAAGAGTCTCCTGGTAGGATCGAATTTCTAATGCTGAGCTTTATCGTAGGTGTTTCAAACTACCAAGTCTAGCATCATACATCAAGCATCGTCGATTGCAATGGTTTGGCCATGTCCTGCGCAAGCCATCGACGGACCTCTGTAGATTAATCGTGAACTCCTCTCGTAATGCAAACTGGAGATACCGACAAAGCGGTCAACTGAAGGCATGGCTCAGCACTGTCAACTCGGACTCCGAATGCATGGGCCTCGTAATCGTTTACTGTTTGCAACACTGGAACTAACAGTGGGTTCGCATCTGAGAAGAGCTCGCTTCCGACTGCCGCCAGCAGGTCGCCGCTATCCGTGAAGCCGATTCATCAAAACAACAGGAGCTTATCGGACCAAGTAAGTAAGTTAGTATGTTTGCGTTTCATATTTCTGTGTCTAACTTTACCTACCTGCACCCTAACCAAAATCATCAATTGAATTAGCATATGAGTGTACTGCCATGGTGCATGCATGCATGTGTGTGCGTGCGTGCGTGCGTGCGTGCTTAACTAGCAGTGTCGTCTACGGAGTACAAAATAGACGCACCCACAAATGCATGCACATTTAGGTCCTGGCAGTAGTTAGTGGCCACGAAAGCGTGTGCAACCTCATTGCAGAAACGTTTGCGCAGACCCACTACGTTCTCCAGCCAGCTGCCAAAGGTGAAACCAGTCATTGTGACGAAATCTGGTGATAGAGCCGTGAGGAGAGCCGCAGGCGTCTCGAAGCACCTTCCGCTGGCTTGTATTTCGTAAATTCTAAAAAACCAAAGCATAGTTGGAACAACTGACAGTTCAACCACTGGATGCAAAGAAAATGATACCCTCAATGATGCTTTTGGTTTTAAGGGAATTTATCTGATAAATAAGTCGTTATAGCGAAGTTATAGCTTCGTATTAAATTACAATGGAAGGTTCTGTCTAAAAATTACCCTGTGCCGGTTGTGACACCGTTTATAGTGGCAAAACAGCGAAATCTCTCTTGACCCGTATATGTGAACATCAGCCAGCAAT